GTTTTTTTTGGGGGGGGGGGGGGGGGGGGGGGGATCGGATTTAATAAGTGGAATGTGCGAAAATGCAGGCTTGTTCATCAAAGAAATGAGCAAAATCAACTAAAAAATACTCGAGTAAAGAGAAGGTGGAAATTTGTTTCAACATTGAAGATTTGATGCAATGGTGCTTGTTTTTGTAATCTTGTTCAGATTTTTTAATGAGTGACTTATATTGAGCATTTTTAGATCAAGTAGAAGGGAGTGACCATGACTGCAATTCTAGCCGCGGAGGGGGGGGGGGGGGGGGGGAGAGGGCGGGGGGGGGGGGGGGGGGTTGGGGAATCGGATTTAAGAAGTGGAATGTGCGAAAATGCAGGCTTGTTCATCAAAGAAATAAGCAAAATCAACTAAAAATTACTCGAGTAAAGAGAAGGGTGGAGAAATTTGTTTCAACATTGAAGATTTGATGCAATGGTGCTTGTTTTTGTAATCTTGTTCAGATTTTTTAATGAGTAACTTATATTGTGCAATTTTAGATCAAGTCGAAGGGAGTGACCATGACTGCAATTCTAGCGAAGGCAACAGCGCTTGCACTGGTTAAGCATCCCATTGTGAATTCTAGTTGTCGAGATGGTAAGAGCTTTACATACAACAGCAGTATCAACATTGCGGTTGCTGTTGCCATTGATGGTGGTTTGATTACACCGGTGCTTCAAGATGCTGACAAAGTGAGAATTAGCCTAGTATTGTCTATTTTATGATCAGGCCATTACGTTTTTTCATGTTCTCACTTTCTCTAGTGACGCAGTGTATTAAATTGTTTCTCATTAAACTTGTTCGTAGATTGATATATATTCCTTATCAAGAAAGTGGAAGGAGTTAGTTGATAAGGCACGAGCAAAACAACTGCAACCTCACGAATATAATACAGGTATATTTCTTATTTGAACTGAAAAAAATTTTCTGACCAAGATCTTGTGGCTGAAACATGTTTGCCCTTGCACGGACATGCAAATAGAACTTTAGGATCCGAAAATGTAGTTCCATAGTAATACCGAGCAATTCATGCCGATACAAAACCAACTTATATCTTTCAATAAATAAATTAGTATTTTTTTGTTTTTGATTGATTGGAGCATAGATGAATATATATTTTCTGTTCCTGGTTTGAACTTGCTAACTTATTTATCACTTTGTGTATTTGCATCGTTTTGAATAATACACTTTTGCCAATTGTATGCATGAATGTATATTAACTTTATAGAAACATGGTTGAATCTGTCTGAAGGCTAGAAAACTTGAATGAGCTGGGCTTGATCCTCTAGTGAGCAAGCTTTATATTTTGAGTATTTTACCAAGTTCTTGTTAATTGTCATTTTACAACTCTGGGCAGGTTATAATTTCTTAATCTGTCTCTCCGAGACAGAAAATTAGAACACATTCATTGTTATGCACAACAATGCTAAAATTTTCACAGTAATTTGGTTTTACTTTCTGAAATTTAGGCCACATTTGATTTCAATTCTTTTATGTTCTCACTCTTCTATTGTGTCCAGAAGTAATGCTATTATACTGCTTTAATCCCCTATAAAACTTGCTGATGTTTGCTCGTTTTATAGGCACGTTTACCCTATCTAACCTTGGAATGTTTGGTGTTGACCGTTTTGATGCCATCTTACCTCCAGGAACTGTAAGCGTTCAAACTTAAGTTCCTAACCATTTTTTCCACTAGATCAGTCGACTAGATATTGTAAATTATCTCTTTAAATGCATTAGAGCATGTTTGTCGAAGTTTATTTGGTGGCATTTTCACAGGGTGCAATAATGGCTGTGGGTGCATCTCAACCCACTTTGGTTGGTACAAAGGATGGTCGGATTGGCCTGAAAAATCAAATGCAGGTAGATTCTTGGTCATTTTAATGCTTATAAATTTTGGGTCTTATGGAATATATGAATAATAAGTGGGTAGTAAATTGTCGGTCTGACCAAATGTGTAGGTAAAAAGTATGTTGGATCATCTTAAGTAATAACTTAAGTTTTGCAAAACATGCTCTTAACTACAACACTTATAATCTTGTTCTTCTTTTTACTGACCTTCGAATGCAATTCTTCCAGGTAAATGTAACTGCAGATCATCGTGTGATATATGGCGCTGATCTGGCAGCTTTCTTGCAAACCTTGGCCAAGATAATCGAGGACCCTAAAGATCTCACTCTTTAGTTTCATATCGACACGGGAGGTTCATGTTTTTGTTAGCTTATTAGCTTTTCAACTAGTGCTCGATGGAATAACCTTGTCGAAGAATTCAGAAGTTGATCTCCTTCGGAAAAAGCTGGAATTTGTTTTCTCGAGTTAAAACTGTTAAATAGTTGCATTCTCATTCATAGTTGTCTTCATTAAGTGCTTTTTGTTGTTTCATCGGTTCATTATAGAGTTTTGGCTAAATTTGTTCAGTCGATTTTATTTCGCTTGGCCTGTCGAAGAAACTTGTGACACTGAAATTGAGTCTCTTTTGATTCAGTTATATCTTTCATTTTCAAACCATCATGTGATGCCTCTTGTAGCTGGTATCAAATGAATTTATATGATAGTTAAAATGATTGGTTTGGTAAGTTGGATTGTACTTCACAGTGTTAAGAGTATATTTGATTAAGCTTAAAAAATGTAAGATACTTTTAAGTAATTTTCCTTCTTCTTTTATCTCCAAACACATGTTCATACTTTTGAGAGTTAATTTAAGTAAATTTTTTCGACTTCTGCAAGTAACAGAATTATTATTTTGAGAATTACTTGTATACTAATAAGTAAGCGTTTTAAGCCTTAGTAGAACATGATTTATAGAAGAAAAAGAAGTTAAAATTTTTCATCTCAACAATCATGTGGTTGCGCTCTATTGCGTGCAAATTGAGTTTGTTTTTCGTCAAATATTTGACATGCAAATTCTTATAAATTGGTAACGACAAAGGGGTAAAGCATAAGTCATTAGAGAATTGACATATCTACTCGTCTTGAGTCTAATCGAGTTTGTTTTTATTAAATGTTTAATACTGCAAAATTTTCATAAATGAATGACGAACAGATTTGAACCCAAACCGATATCGGCATGCTATGAAATATATGTAACCATCTAATCACAGCTAGCATGCAATAAAATGTGGTCACAATGTTTTATAAACAACATTATTTTATGATAATTATGATAATTTGCCACTCAATTCAATAATACAACTTTGATTGGGACCCACCCAAATTAATGTAACCAATCTTTCACTCTCATAAACAAGCTATTAGTGTAACAAGTAGAACTAAAAATGTTCAGACGTTATCAAAACAACCAAACCTTTCATACTAGCAACCACCCCATTAATTCTTTTCACATCCTTTTTTACACAAGCCAGACACAAATTCATGGCCATTGAAGAAGAAGACTTCAGCTTCCCCGCCACGGCTGCCGATTCTCCACCGCGCTTCATATACTCGCCACCCCTTTGGTGCCCCGTTTCCGTCCCCCCACCACATGTAAAACCAGAAAGATTAGTTGACAAAGAAGAAAGCAAAGAAACTTGCAACAAGAATCAAAGAAAGAACTGTTCGACCGGTATGAAGATCGAGAGAAGAGAAGAAGAAGACGATGTTGATGATGAGCTTGAGGAAAAAATGGACATGTTGTGGGAGGATTTCAATGAAGAATTCTCAAGAAAACTTGTGGCAGATTCTGGTATGTCTTCATCTGACAGAGATGTACAAATTTTGAGTGTTAAAACCTTAAAGTTGTCGAAACCTAATGGAAATTTGCTTTCTGGCAAAAAACTAAGCATTTTATTGCTTATGAAGATCTTGATGAGAAAGGCTTTTTCTGTACATAACAATTGTAGTTCTATCAAGAACCGAGCATGATGACTAATCAAAATTTGTTCACACGCTTTTCATGCACATTTGAGTTTGTTTTAATTTCATATTCCACAAATTAAATTTATTGAGGATGGTTGAAGGGGTTGAATGTATATCTTTTAGTGTTTCAACTTTTTTGTTTGGTTGATAAGTAGAAGAATTGTTTCTCAAGAGAATGACGAATCCTGTTGTCTACAAACAATGAAGTTATAAGTATTGCAATTATAAATCTCGAGGAAAGTTCTAATTTGATCGTTCAACTAATCTTGTCCAATCGAACAAGAAATCAAAAACTCGGTAATAGCCAACAACTTATTTCATGAGTGTACAACTCATTCATAAGTTTGATATGATCGCACTAGAATCGTCTAATCAATAATTTGATAGACGGTTCATTGGTTTTGCGTCCTTGTGTCCACAGGAGATAGAGAGATGTTAGTTTGATTCATTGAATCTTTCGAAAGATCGAAGAAAGTGACAACTTAATTTGAGTTTGCATATTGTAATAGGTACAAGTGTAAGGTAGAATAATTTGTTTAAGTTGATGATTCCATTTGCCTTTGATTGCTTGAATGCCTAATTATTTGTCTTCACATAAATAAACATTTCCAAGCTGTAAAGCGCATCCAGACAATTTATGACAAATAGAAGAAATACCAAAAATGCCAAGTACTACACGAATCTAAAAATAGGAAAATAGCTGCAGAGGTTCATAATCTTTCACGCAATGAGCTTTTGAGTCCCCAACTTACCAAAACATAGCAATCATGCCCCCAAACGTTTAATTTTCTTGGCTGTGAAGGTCCTTCCAGATGAAACACATCCAATTAAAGTTACCTCGTGTTCTATCAGAATCAAGTTGAATACTTCCAAGTTGAGAACTATGGCAATTTTTTTCGATGCCAAACAATTTGGGTCCATTTGATAGTAAAGGTGAAAAGGACAAACCAATTCCATGTAAATTAGAAAAGAAAAACTCACCAAAATCATAAGAATTCGATTTCCACTCAATTGGTCAAAAGCATGCTTTAAGTGTGTATAACTTGAAATTCGAACTTCATTTCCACTTTCGTATCAAACAACAAAAGTAGAAAACGAATTCCTCCAATATGACATTTTCCATGAAATTTAATGCATTCAACCAAATCTTCACGAACCACGGACGAAATAAAAATCAACCGAATTATAACTAACTGTACTAGAAGTCAAGAAGGATGCCAGCTCATGGGTGGCTTTCCTTTTGAATTTTACTGAAGTTAGTAAATAATCAATAAAATTAAAATTTTCTTTGAAGATACTAAAATTTCTTTAAACCGCAATAGCCTACAGATCACACAATCCATTAATATCTTGTACAGAATTGAACGACCAACAAAATATATCAATCTGAGATCAAAATGGCACCGAAAATTCTTTAAAAAAAATACAAAGTGGAATTGAATTATCATTATTTAATATCTGGTATAAAAATATTGGGTGCTTCATTTTTCTACATATGATATTGGAGATTAAAATCAACATAGGCTCTATGAATTGACTATCCCTTTTCCCCTTCAAGTAGAATGAGGAGCCACCAAAACTGAACTTGTTTTTCTTGTTTCACGTCAATCAAATCAGTATGCATCTATCATTCTTCATGGTAATTTGGCAATCTACATTCATTGTGTGATATCAGAATCACCACTATGCAACTTTGCTATCACTTGGAAAGAAATGGTTTACCCATGGTGAATCATTTTGTACAAAAAAAATGAATCGATTTCTCAGATATGGCTCAAAGTCGTCTTGAAACTATGCCGTTTCATGTAGGGTGATATTCCCTTTCTCCTCTGATCTGTGATGGAACAACTTTGCAATCTTTCGCCTCTCGCAGTCCTGTATTACATGTGAACAGGCTTTAGACAATGCCAAGAAAAATAATAAGATAAAATTTCATTATAATGTCCCATCTTGTCTAGTACCCCATTCCAAACATGCACTAAAGTGCACAAAGAAGCCCGAAAGGTTTGGCCAACTTTGCCTTAAAGAGGTTTTGCTCGTTCAGAGTTAAGATGCAATTCAGGGCTCACCTTGAACATATTGAGATAAAAGGGTTTCTCGGGGTTCATTCTTCTCAACTTGTGATATGTATAGGCAAAACTCAGCTGGTCACGAGGAGTGAACCGTTCAACCTCGTTAAACCAAAGGCAAGAGAACAAGTTTGACATTGGTGTGTGAGCCCTAACGATAAAAGACCCTTCAGGTACGTCTGTTAAAAAACAAGACATTAGACACAGACATTATGCTGAGAGAAATATTCAAACAAAATGAAAATGACAGATCATACTGCTGGGAAGAAGCTTGTTCGGATCTGATGCATTAAATTTTTTCATCCCATCGTTTTGATAGAATGCAAATTGTTCGTCTATAACAGTATGGTTGTACTTGTTAAGCTTCTTATTTTGGGCAACCTCTTCCCATAAACAATGGCGGTCATAGTGATTGGATATAGCATATTCATAACCTTTCCTCCACAGGAAATATTCCAAGATAAGCATTGGATCGAGTTGGAGACGAAGTTTGCTATCCAACCAAATTGAGTACCTGAAATAATTTCCAGAAGCAAAAAGTTAAAGTAAAACACAAAAAGAACATCTCGATAAGCTATTTTTTAGAAAAAGAAAAGAAACGCTTAACTTCAAAAATACTTATTTGAGTAGAAGGCAAAATATAATTTTATTGTTGTGTAGCTCACTCCATACTGTTAAAAAGGAATATCAAGTCGAGAATTTCATGATTAATCTTCTTCTATCCACAGAATCATCTTACTAATATATTACAGAACTCAATACTCCCTCCATAATTGAAATATTTTGTTGGACCACCAAAATCAAATGGATTATTCATTGTTGTACACTTTCTTACATATTCATCTAAAATACAACAGGGGTTGTTAGTTTGGCAAATGTTGAGGTGGGAAGACATAAATTCCCAGAATCAAAATAATGTGAGTGTTGTATTGAATCTTATCAGGTTCAATGTCACCATTAACTAGCAGATCCAGCACATCTAAATGAATTTTTGAAATAATTTCATTCTTCTTTCATGGACTAGAAATTCAGATCTATTATCATCGACCAAAATTAGAAAGTAGTACAAACAAGATGAGCCCAAATATGGAACCATTACATAAGTGAAAAGCCTATAATTTTACCTGGCTGAAGGAAAAAGACGGTGTGGCAAAAATTTTGGTATCTTCCCAACTCTCCGCATGTCAGTGTAAGGAAGATTCTTCACAACCACAATCTTCCACAACCCAATAAAGCCCATTCTATCTGGCACTTGACCTTCTGAAGAAAGCATATGTAAAGTAACTTCATCCACAAACATTACAAAACATATATTTTTCCTTGACAAACGAGAGACCTGAATTATTATTAAGAATAAAAAAAAAAAAAAAAAAAGGTTAGAAAAAAAAAATTGACCAGTTAAAAAAAAAAAAAAAAAAGGTTAAATGAAAAAAATTAACCACCCAAGAAAGCATATGTAAAGTAACTTCATCCACAAACATTACAAAACATATATTTTTCCTTGACAAACGAGAGACCTGAATTATTATTAAGAATAAAAAAAAAAAAAAAAAAAGGTTAGATAAGAAAAATTGACCAGTTAATAAAAAAAAAGAAAAAGGTTAGATGAGAAAAATTGACCAGCTCATTGAATGCTACAAGTTCAACTGCACAAGCTGGTATCTTAGAAACACTAATACAGATGGGGATGTGGTGCTGTATTGTGATTTGGAAGAGGGAAGTAAGCCACATTATTTAGTTGATGAGATGCTAATGAGGATGCCAGGCATATACACAAGCAAAGCAGGTCAGCATACAAAAAGACAACAATCAGATTTCACTAAACAAGCTTTATTTATTCTAATAAATGGAAAACCAACGAAACGCAACGTGTTACACAATCCCTTAAAAGCCAAGTGATCTGATATTGAAACATGTTTTTCCATATATGTTTTCCATTTCAAAAGTAAAAAATGGATAAAAAAGAAAGAAAAGAAGAAACAGATTTAGCCCTATTTAGCCCTCATTTTCTAAAACTCATTTTTCACATTCATTTTCTACCACATATCAAGGGACTCACAACTTCTACCAACTTCTCAACCACACATTTCATCAACTTTTATCAAATCAAAATTTACTAAAAATTTGATTTTTAGCTAAACGAATGGGGGCTTATAGAACACTTCACAATTGTTCAGATTGATTATATCAAACCCCTAAAGAGACGTCCCACTCTTTGTTAGTGTTTATCATTTTGTATATTTCATTTTATTTTGCCCTTCTTAACATTTCCATTATCACAATGATTCTTGATAAAGAGATGAATGTTTAAACATTTTGCTTCAACCTTGCTAAAGTTATTCTATCAATACAAATCCAAATATTTTTCATGTTTCCATTTTTGTAAACCAAAGTTTCACAAGTTAGCACTCCTACAGGGAATCCAATAAACAACTTGATAATGAACAACAAAGTAAAAAGGAATAAAGTACCATTTTGTCCACTGGCGATCTCAAGCGATCTGAATTCCCAAATATACAAGACATCACAGCAATGTGACAACTACTCATGTATTTTGCATCATCTTCAGCCAAGTCAAATCCTGTACCTGAAGACCCTTTTGGACCTCTCACAAAGCCACAGTTTATTTTCTGATCATGGGCAATAAACGATTCTTCCCTTTCTTTGAGTCTCTGATGTCCAGCGAATTTGGGTAACCATCTTTCATCTTCAGTGGGCTTCTCTTCTGTTTCTGTATATTGTAGAGAGAATCTTGCAAATTTTCTACTTTCTAAAGGCTCTACAAGCAGTGAAGAGGAATTCAACATTTTCATCTCACATGAACCTGGAATTTCGGAGTTATATTCCAAATAATAATAAATTTAGTAAAAGAGGGTGAAATAACTCATCTAACTATTTCAAACATTTAATATGCTAAGCATCATAATCTTCAAGTTTGTTTTGCTTACATTTCAAAAAATTCATGTTAACCATTCCAACTAACCTTTCTTTTAATTGACATTTCTCATGACATACATTAGTTGAACGAATCTATGCAATGCCAAGCCACTAGTCATTTTAGTAATATAGTTGAAATAATGTAAACCATTCATCAATTACTCCAAGTAGTCAAGTACTCAGGACTGAAAATATCTATAAATATTTCATTTTTCAACCTTGAAAAGCTAACCTAACTCTACACTATACTTTTAGTAAATTTTATTTGTATTTTGTTAAATCCTTGCACATTGCATGTCCTTTAGGAATAAGGAGATTATCAAAGTCCCTGTAGATATACATGTTGTCCCAAAAGGTTATCGTTAGATCAATTATTATTTATTAACAAGGGAGAAGGAACTGAAAATGATGTAATGTATGGGATTACAGTGATGGGATGAAAAGCCGAAATGCTATAGGAAATCTATGCAACAGCAAAATTCCTTTCAAGGTTAAAATTTAAATTCTACAAGACACTAATTAGACTTTCTATGCTTTATATAATTCTAAGAGTTAAGCTGTTAAATGGCAAAGTTTCATAAGATGAACATAGAATGCAGAATATTAAGATAGATGTACACCCAAAGAGATTCATGTTCATAAGAGTGATTAGATTTAAATAAAACAAGTTAAAAGATGGAAAGATGGACAGAAACATAGCTTGTAACGGTCACTAAGGATTTATCATTGGATCTCCAAGTAGATATAGCAATCAATAGAACAGAGCAGCTGAAAAGGATATATGAAGCTGTTATATTGAATAACGCTCTGTTTGTTATGCATGAGGGTTTTTAGTATCACAGAACATATTTCAAAGTTACGGTATAAATAAAGAACTTCAAAAAACCGAATAACTAACACACAATGTCAAATATAGTATCATCATTATATAATTCACACAATACTGACTAATTAAGTAACCAAAAAAGGCAACTTCTTATTCTAAGTAACTCCTACAATTATCGGTAGAAAATTACCAGAGGTTCTTCGGCGTTTTGGCTTCCTTTTGGAACCTGAGTGCCTTTCAGGATTTGTTCTTCGAACAGATTGACCATCAAGAGAACTGACATGTCTGGATTTGACTTTGATTTTGGAATGCAGGGAGATTGAAAGTGATTCCTCATTGGCCAAATCAAAGGAAACTTTATCACCTTCCTCAACATTTTTCTGGTTTTTGTTTCTTGCATCGCGCAGATGAGAAGATTCTCCACCATCAATCCTGTGGGATTCATGGCCACCAGAATGCTCCTCATCATCATGTCCAACATCATCATCGTCTTTGATTTCGTCATCCTGTAAATCAATACCATCATCATATTCATCATCAGCAGATCCATGCTTTCTCCAATCAGCGTCACCTGATTGCTGATTTTTATTGCTATGTACATGTTTAGACTGTTCGCTACTCTTTAAAGAAGCCTCATACTCAGCTTCATACATTTTCAGTTCGTCACGCCCGGCCTCATTGTATAAACCATTTCTTCTGTTATCCGAAGCTTTATGAGAACCAGTAGTAGAAGACTTCTTATCCCTAATTCTGATTGCAGCATGAACCTTATTTGTGGAACCATCCCGGCCTCGGTTCAATTCCTCTTCATTGTAATCTACATCTCTTCTTCTGTCATCCTTGTCCCAATACCTTGAATCCCGGCCATGCAAAACAGATCCACGTCCAAACTTGAGTTCTTTGGATTTCTGTGTCCGGGTCACATTCATGAGAAAATCAGTATCATTTTCTATGTCATTGTCTTGAGATCTATACCAGTTCGTATCTGCTCCTATCATGAAGAGATCAAGTAAATGCCATATTATAGACTACCAACTAATGTGTACCAGTAAAATTCTAATACTATGATTGAAAGCAGAGATTAGGACTAGCAATGGAATTTGAAATATTTCCATTTCAATTTGAATTCATTTTTCTTGACCTCCAAACTTGAGGCCTAGTTGACTAGTTCCATATTAATGAACACAAAGAGAACAAACTAGGAAAACCCAACAGTAGTTGGAACCCAAACTTGATCAACTATATTGGAATACTAAGCACTAATAGACAATTATGCCAAAAAGCAGCTTTACTTCAGTTTATAACCACATATTTTACTGGCTTTCCAAACTACTACTCGTTTACATTATACGAAGTCTTATGGATCACAATTTTCGAACTTTTACCTATGTCAATATCACAATAATTATTGGAGTCAAATACTACTACAAGAACGTTCTCTTTTGCAGATGAAATTTCTTTAGTACAAGGAAGAAGAAAAAAAATAAAAATAAAAATAAAACATTTCAAAGCATCATATTTTCAATTCATAAATGCCCCGGACGCATTAGATTTAAGTGAAAATACTTTACCACGCACAAATACAATCTCACTTCAAAAACAACACTAGCAATCACAATAGACACAACAGTTTGATCAGTGCTAACTATCAATCTAATAACCATACAGTCCAATCATTTACAATTTCTTTATTTCCTTTCCAGTAACTTGCGTTAATTAACAAATGAATAGTAAAACTAAACTAAATTCACCCACAGTGAAAACTCAATCTATATAACTAATCAAAATAAACTCCCAGACTATCCAATAGATCACGATGTGTACCTTTACTTTGCAATGCAAAATAGAAAAAAACCGAAACGGAGAGTATGAAGGCGAGTATCACGATGCAGCAGCCGATCGAGATCTTGTAATCGTGTGGGCCTTTGAATCGACGGCGGTGGTGGTATGGCACTGAGGAAGTGGTTCCGCCACCGCGCATGCCGATCGATAGTTGATCTCCGCCGTTTCGCATACCGCCATTGCTATTGAAGAAACCTCCGGATTGCCTGTACTGAGCCATTCGTGCATTATGAGGTATAGAAACAGAATGTGTACGTATAGTTGTGAGATGTGCGTTTAGGATTCGACGGGAAGTATGAAGTTTTCGGAGGGTATAATGATGATCGAAAAGTTGAACAAAGTTTGCCGGAGAGAATTGGAGTAAGAGAAGTGGTAGCGGTGGAAGGGGAGACGGAGGTGGGTTTTGTTTCCTGGATTTTAGATGCTATGAAATTACCATAACACCCCTGACCGGTGACCTCCAATCTACTGAGTTTGAGAGCATGTCCGTCTTAATATTTCAATACAGTTGCACAATCGATTCTTAGGGCTGTTTGATAATAAAGTTTGTGAAAAGTAATTTTTTGAAAAAATATGATTAAAAAGTGGGAAAAAATTAGACATTCATATGTAAAATTATTTTATTAGAATCTTTTTTTTTACTTTTTTTATCGTAGGTGTTTGTGTTAACTTACACCACCTCGACTAATTTTAAGGGATCCTGAAGTTTATAGTCGAGTACTTGTTTCAATGGTCCTGATAGAATTCAAATTGGTGACCATTGGGAATAAATCTAAAGTCTGACCACTGAACTATCTCCCAAGATTTATTTATCTGAATAGAAGTTTAATGATAAAAATAGTTTTTGTTACATTTTCATGGGAATTTCCCGTTTCACTTTTATGAAGATTTTGCTTTTTTATACTAGATGTTTTGTTAATTGTAAATTTTAATTGTTGTCGATGTGACCTTTGTGGTGAGGTCATGTCAGGGGCATGTTAAGAAGCCTCCTCAATGGTCGTGAGGACCAAAGCCAAAAACAAAATTTATTAAGGATAACTAACAAAAATAATTATGAGTTTTTTGAAAAATCATATAAAAAATTTATTGAAAGTAAAAAATACCGTGTAAAAATAAAAAGTGACACTTTATAAAAATTTTGTGACACAATGTCACTATTTTTAGTGACATTTTTTTTTTTTAAAAGACGATTGAAAAAAAAGTGACAAAAATTTAAAAAAAGTGATGAACTAAAAAAGTAACACAAATTAAAAAAAGTTACACAGATTTAAAAAAGTGACAATTAAAAAAAAAAAAGTAACACAAATTCCCAAAAAAAAAGGGTGAAAGAAAATTTAAAAAGTGACAAATCATAACCTACAATTTTTGATATAGCCAAATTATCTAATAAGTTCACAATTGATGAACAAATTAAAAACTTTTGAACTAACAACTTGAGCAATATAATCATAACCCAAAATTTAAATACAACTAAGTTTTCAATAAGCTCACAAGAAACGAAAATTGATGACTAAACTAAAATGTCAAATGTCAAAAAATTGTATAAACACTCGTGACCGTTAATAAACTAATATCATTCCTGAAATCATTTATATCAAATATTTTCCAAAATCATTTGCATGTTGTGCTTCTTCGTCACATGCATCTTCCGTTTTTGCCTCATCAACAATCTGTGAGCTGAAATTCTATAGAGAACTGAATCTAATATTTCGATCAAAGGTTAAGATTCAAGATTCTCTCCTTGATTACGGTATTAAAATTGTTGAACTCCCATTTCCACAAGAAACAAATGGTATGGTGTCCCTCCAGGTGTCGAAAGCACTGATAAATTGACATCCATGGCTTTTTTTGTTCCTTTCGCCAATTCTACAATACTAATGTAGCAGGATTTTGAAGACACCATTCAAAATCTTGATCAATCTGTTACCTGCATAATCTCTTATACAATTTTTGGCTGGATATAAAAATCTGCTAAAAAATTTGGGATTCCTCAACTGGTCTTTTCCGGCATGGGAATGTTTTCCACCATCATGTATCAGATCTTATTAAAAAACAGGCCACATGCAGGAACAGTTTCTCTCGACACTTCCTTTTTGATTCCTGATTTTCCCAAGTTGAAATTGACAAGAGATGACTTCGATCAAGTGATTTTGCCGCCATAGCTGCACATGAACTTCACTTTATAATATGGGGGAAGCTGATTGTTGTGCGAATCCTCCCACGACGGCAAATTCTCGAACTCAATCACCCACAGTGAAAACTCAATCTATATAACTAATCAAAATAAACTCCCAGACTATCCAATAGATCACGATGTGTACCTTTACTTTGCAATGCAAAATAGAAAAAAACCGAAACGGAGAGTATGAAGGCGAGTATCACGATGCAGCAGCCGATCGAGATCTTGTAATCGTGTGGGCCTTTGAATCGACGGCGGTGGTGGTATGGCACTGAGGAAGTGGTTCCGCCACCGCGCATGCCGATCGATAGTTGATCTCCGCCGTTTCGCATACCGCCATTGCTATTGAAGAAACCTCCGGATTGCCTGTACTGAGCCATTCGTGCATTATGAGGTATAGAAACAGAATGTGTACGTATAGTTGTGAGATGTGGGTTTAGGATTCGACGGGAAGTATGAAGTTTTCGGCGGGTATAATGATGATCGAAAAGTTGAACAAAGTTTGCCGGAGAGAATTGGAGTAAGAGAAGTGGTAGCGGTGGAAGGGGAGACGGAGGTGGGTTTTGTTTCCTGGATTTTAGATGCTATGAAATTACCATAACACCCCTGACCGGTGACCTCCAATCTACTGAGTTTGAGAGCATGTCCGTCTTAATATTTCAATACAGTTGCACAATAGGGCTGTTTGATAATAAAGTTTGTGAAAAGTAATTTTTTGAAAAAATATGATTAAAAAGTGGGAAAAAAATTAGACGTTCATATGTAAAATTATTTTATTAGAATCTTTTTTTTACTTTTTTTATCGTAGGTGTTTGTGCTAGTTTACGCATACCTCGACTAATTTTAAGGGATCCTGAAGTTTATAGTCGAGTACTTGTTTCAATGGTCCTGATAGAATTCAAATTGGTGACCATTGGGAATAAATCTAAAGTCTGACCACTGAACTATCTCCCAAGATTTATTTATCTGAATAGAAGTTTAATGATAAAAATAGTTTTTGTTACATTTTCATGGGAATTTCCCGTTTCACTTTTATGAAGATTTTGCTTTTTTATACTAGATGTTTTGTTAATTGTAAATTTTAATTGTTGTCGATGTGACCTTTGTGGTGAGGTCATGTCAGGGGCATGTTAAGAAGCCTCCTCAATGGTCGTGAGGACCAAAGCCAAAAACAAAATTTATTAAGGATAACTAACAAAAATACTTTTAAAATTATGAGTATTTTGAAAAATCATATAAAAAATTTATTGAAAGTAAAAAATACCGTATAAAATTAAAAAGTGACACTTTATAAAAATTTTGTGACACAATGTCACTATTTTTAGTGACATTTTTTTTTTTTAAAAGACGATTGAAAAAAAAGTGACAAAAATTTAAAAAAAGTGATGAACTAAAAAAGTAACACAAATTAAAAAAAGTTACACAGATTTAAAAAAGTGACAATTAAAAAAAAAAAAGTAACACAAATTCCCAAAAAAAAGGGTGAA